CAAGTAATTGTTTAAAAAAAAAAAAAGGAAAAAAAATCATGAAAAAACCATCATTCCTTCTTTTTCTAAGTTTTTCAGTTGTGGGATGGATCTCCGAGTCTATTCAGTGGATGCAGCTGGTAATTGGATGTGCCAGAAAATAAGCAATTAAAAGATATTTGTCTGGGTCTCTGGCAAAGCCCTGTGTACATCAGTCACTGCAAAAGCCACACACTAACCACACCATCTCATTGTTTCTTTGCTCTTATTTTAATTTTACAGGCCCTCAATTAAATAAAAATAGACCTCAGATTTAAATCAAAAATAAAAATCCTCCAGAGGTGCTATTGATTAAGTGAAGCCAAGCCAGCAATAAGGCAAAACAACAGTAAAACCAATCAATGTAAAATATTTAAATTCCTCTTTAGTTCCCCTCTTTTTTAAAATCTCTTTAAGTTCCTACAAGTTATCCACCTTAATCTTCAAGGTACAAACTGAGGAGCCTCAGCAGAAACCCTGCAAGCTCTGACACACCCTGTCACCAACACCTCTGCTCTTGTTTTACTTATTGTGCTTCAGTGGCAGGTTAGATTTGTTCTTTTCCAGGAATATTTGCATGGAAGGAGGCAATGACCAGCCCTGGTGCAGCTCAAGCAGCCCCTGACAGCCCTCAAAGCTTCTGGCAGCTCTTGCACCCACATCTCCTCCTGCAGATCTTCTCAAAGCTGGGACAGAGCTGGGTCTGCCTTCTTAACCCAGCTCATCTCCACCTGCCTTTCCAGCCTGCTCTGCTCTCCCACACTAATGCCCAGGTTTGGGATGTGGGCAGGGACACACTCAAACCCTTGGATATCCCCCTGCACTCTGCTCCTGCTCAGAGATGTGGCACTGGGGGACGTGCTTTAGTGATGCACTCCATCATCTCAGAGGTCCTTCCCAACCTAAATAACCCTAGGAGATTCCACTTGCACCTTTGAAGAGCCCCAAATTAAAGGCACAAACCCCACTGTCACCTGCACTGAACTTGAGAGGAGACCAAGAGGAGAAACCTCACATATTTTCAGGTCTTGAGGACTAACCCAGCCACAGCATCACCCTCCTCCTGCCCAGCCACACTCCATTCCAGGTGAGCAGATGGAGAGGGACTGGCCCCTCTCAAGGACTGCAGCTAAACCAACACCCAGCCTGGGGCAGGGAGGGGAAACCTTCCACATGCTGGGGAGGAAAAAAAAAAAAAAAAAAAAAAACCAAACCAAAAAAAAAAAAACCACGCTAAATGATTCATTTCTGACATCAGCCCTGATTAAATTTTAATCTCTCAACCCAAAATGTGGTTCTCATTAGCCTCATTAGTTCCCAGTTGTACTGCAAGGCAACGGTGTCACATGGTATTAATCTTTGTTTTCATTAATGTGTCATATCAAGAGCTCAGGGCTGCTCTCAGCATCCTTTGAAACCGATCCCTCCCTCTCTCCTGTGCGGGGTAGGAAGTGCCAAAAAGCAGCTTCCTGGACAGGAAGGATGACCCCCTGAGATCCTGCAACTCTTGGTTTACGTTTCTAGAGATAATCTTTTCTTTCTGGGCAGAGAGGGAGGGCAGCTCGGAGCTCCGATCCACGATAACAAAGGAATTCCTGGGGTTTATTGCCAAGGCCAGATAAAGGAATTAGATAGTCTAAGTTCTGCTGTTGTCGTTGGGATATTTTGGAGAGCTGGAAAAAAATACAGCCAGGTTGCAAAAAAAGGGTTATTTGCAAAGCCCTAAAAACCCCTCCAGATTGTCCCTGTTTGGCCCATGCATCAAGGTGAGATTTGTTAATGTGATTTTATCTAAAAATCTCAGATACTTTTTTTTTTTCAATACACAAAATTGTATGCTGGATTCAGGCACAATATTAATTTCTCCTTCCACTTCAGACTTTAATATCTGCAAAGCTGGTATCAGTTAAGTCTTGCAGTCCCTCAGTACAAGCTTGTATTACTTCCAGACAGGCCTATAAAGCAGGACAGAGACTGATGGAAAGACCTGGCCAAGGTCACCTGGTTAAGCACAGCTGACACATCCATTCCTGCCTGCACAGAGAACTTCCCAGGTGAACCAAGGGTGCTGATAAAACCCAGGACACCCAGGTTCCTATTCCCTGCTTGCACAGCTCCTGATCTTTCAGTGGCTGCTTGCTCAGGGCCAGGCAAAAAAAAGTCTTCCTGAATTACCCAAACTGCTTCACCAAACCCACCCCAGCTCAAGTGGCCCTGTGTGGATCCCTCATTCATCCTCATCTGGGCTGCTGGAAGCTCCAAGGGGGGTTCTTCCAGCTCTGTTTTGTGTGTCAGAGCAGGACTACTCTAGTCCAGGATGATCAGAGGGATGGAGCAGCTCTGCTGGGAGGAAAGGCTGAGAGAACTGGGATTGTTCACCTGGAGAAGAGAAGCCTCAGGGTGACATAATTGTGACCTTCCAGTGCCTAAAGGAGCTCCAAGAGAGCTGGAGAGGGACTTTGGACAAGGGATGGAAGGACAGGACAAGGGGGAATGGCTTCCCACTGCCAGAGGGCAGGGATAGATGGGATATTGGGAAAGAATCCTTCCCTGTGAGGGTGGGGAGGCCCTGGCACAGGTTGCCCAGAGAAGCTGTGGCTGCCCCATCCCTGCAAGTGTCCAAGGCCAGGTTGGACGGGGCTTGGAGCAACCTGGGCTGGTGGAAGGTGTCCCTGCCCATGGCAGGGGGTGGCACTGGGTGGGCTTTAAGGTCCCTTCCAACCCAAACCATTCCATGATGATTCTTTTCACACTCTAAATGCTGTGCCCTCATCACAAAAGGGTCACAAACCAACATGCTTCAAAATGGGAAGGAACCTGCGCCAAATCCAGCCCCCAGTTCCCACCCTGGCAGTGTTACAACCTGGAGTCAGAAACCCAGGAGAGATCTGGCTCTAACCTTTATTTGGATCACACCAGACAAAACCCCAAGTGCTTCAATCTCAAAATCCAAAGCTGTAGAGTATGGGAGGAAAGAAAACAGGGAAGAGGTTCATTTAATGGCTACTAATGACCTCCTGGAGAGGGAAAACACAGCCCTGAGCATCTCCTGAGCCCCCCAGCAGTGAGTGGAGCTCAGCCTGACCCAGCCACCAGTTCAGCCACCAGCACAGTGATTAAAGTCCAGCACAGGTCAAGTGCTTTTTAACGAGACATAAACCACAAACCCTCCACAACACACAAGCCTTTCTTCTTCCTCTGTTGCAAATGAACTTCTGAGGACGGTAATTTAATTGCAATTAAATTACAAGCCTCACAGACAAGCTTCCACGACCTGCAGCGTGCTTGTCCCTCCAGTAAGTCCTTTCATATGAAAGTTCCAAGCTATTATTCAATCCGCTAAATATAAAAAAAACACCAGGTATTTGAGGGCAGAGAGACAGAGGCATCAACTCCCCTCTGTGCTCTAGGAAAGTGTTGCAGCACCAGCAACTTTTTGGGAGCCAGCTGGGCACGGGGGCTTTGAAGGGCACACGAGCAGAGCTCTATTTCATATTCCCTGCAGGAAAAAAGGTGCTGCTTGGTCTTATTTTACCCTAAATACCTGCTAGCAGCAGCTCCACCACTGTTTTCCACAAGGGAAGAACACACTGAAAAGAAAGTTGTAGCCACCTTGCGCTCTAACATTTTATTTATTGGCTTGTTCAACCCGTTCCCTTGAGCTCTTGTAACTCGACCAGAATCTTAGTCATGAAAGAGGAGAAAAAAAAAAAAAAGGCAATAGGATTTAAAACCCCACAATTCCAGCTTTTGTTTTGAGTGTCTTACAAACTGTGCTCCCCAACAGCGGGCAAGGAGCTCTGTAAAAAATGAAGTTACACAATAACCAAGGCAAAGGAAGGGTTTTCAGATGCCATTTGGAAATGCTGGGGGGGAGGAAACAACAGAAGAAGAAACAGGAGATCAGTGGCAAGAGTAGCTGAAAAGTTTGTTTATGCAAGAAAATGTAATAGCTCTCTGGAGGCACCTTACTGTGGGATGAAAGTGAGTTTATTCCAGAATTACCAACTCACTTTGGAAGTGCATTAGTTATTCTGGTACAAAAATGATTTAAGTTCTGCTGGAAGGCCTCTCCCAAAGAGCTTGTCCTGCCACAGGACCTCCATGGCCAATGTCTCAGCAGAAACCACAGGGAACAAACCCACACATGGAGGTTTCACGGGCCCACCTGCAACAAGGATTTTTACTTTTACACAAAGGGCAGGTTTTCCCATCCTTGTTTAAATAGATGACAATCCAAGATAATATTCAGGAGGGAGGAAGTTGGGGGAGAAAGACAAAGCCATTTGTACTGGACCCGTGAGCTGCAGTATGGACTGAACCCAGCCAAGCAGGATTTGCAGGCTGCAAAAGGGATGTTGATCTATGAGGAATTCCCACCAAAAAAAAAAAATCTTTTAAAGCATTCTTATCTTCATTTAACAGCTTCTGCTCTACTCAAACTGGCACCACTTCTTACTACCATCATTTTATTGCATGGTTTGCAGAAATTACAAGGAAAATTGAAGTTAAAATTAAAATGATTCAGCACTTCACCCAGTGGGTCAGACATTAAATATTCTCTTGCACGGGCAGATTTTTAGGTTCTTGACAGTCCTCTCTGACTTCAAAAGGAAGAGTCCAAAGTGGCAGATGGGAGAAAAACCCCAAACCAGTATTTTAAGACAGACACACTGAGCTCCTGATCAAAGTGTGACACCACTACAAGTGCAGCCCGTGGCCCAGAGAACACAGCCAGGTTTAGGCTGAGCAGACCCACAGCTGTTTTGGGAACACTGTGCCCAGAATTACAAACAAAACTTCCCAGTGCTTTCCACTTTCCAACTTGGCAATCCTGGCCCCACGTTTCACAGGTACCAGAACTGACACCTTGCTCTCTGAAAGCTCAGCTGAGAACCACCAAAGTGCATCTGAATCCACACAGTTCAGAGCCAACAACAAACTGGCAAATCAAGAATTCAGGGCCAGCACAACATCAGTTCTCAGGATTTTAGGTTGCCAAAGTAATCCTTACCCTGCAAACCCCCTCACAAAGAGCTCCCATCAGCCTCCCCAGGAGCAGCTTTCTTGAGGGTCGTGAGACCCTCCGAGCCCTTCAGCTGTGCTGTCCCAGCAGGATCAGCTGTCCCCTGGCTCCCAGAGTATTCCCCAGCTCCCAGGTGGTCCCAGGACAGACAGGGAGCGTGTCCTGCCCTTCAAAGGAGACAGTTTGCTCTTCTAAAGCTTCCCCTGACTGAGCCCAAGCCAGCTGGACAGCAGTTGAAAGAGTCTCTCCTCCAGCAGCACCCGGTATCAGGAGACTCCAGCCCAAAACAAATAGGAACATTTAAAATTAAAATAGAAAAAAAAAAAAAAAAGAGCAAAAGCGATAAAAGGAATAAATTGTTCCTCACTGGCCTAAAGAAGAGAGAGCTCTATTCCTCCTTATCATTCCACATCTTCCTGGAACTGGCTGCCCAGGCACCTACAGCAGAGGATTCTGCTGGGAGGGGGGTGCTGGGTCACAGGAGCCCAGCCTGGCCAGAGCAACAGGAACACCAGGACTGGACAACAGCTCCAACCAACGTGGCCACAGCAGGAATTTCTTCCTCCTTTCAGCTGCCTCTTTGCTGGGCTGTCTCATAACTCGGTCAGGAATGGCCTGACAGCACCTTCCTTCCCCACAGGGTAAGATCTGTCATCTTCTACCCCGGGGAAGCATCAGAACTCATCCAAACCTCTCAGTCTGCCCAAAACTGACAGTAAGACAGTTAAAGGACCACCTGAACCTGTGGACAAACCAGTGTGAGAAGGGAGATTTAAACCCAGCCTTAGTTTAAGGCCAATGCTGCTGCCCACCCACCCAGCCACCAGATCAGATTTTGGGTGCTCTCAGCTCACCCCTTCTGCCACCACAATTCCCTGGGAGAACTTCAGCTAATCCCTGCTTTGCTCTTTCCCTGTGTTTACTTGCACTGGAAGCACCCAGCATCCCTTTCTCCAGGGAATTCCAGGTCACACTGTGTGCACAATAATAATATGGTTTTGACCACCCAGTGACCCATTTCAGAGGATCTAATGAAAAATGTAACCACAGCTGAATGAACTGTGCTGCTGGGCTGCTTTGATTCCTTTCCCCCACTGCTTAACAAGAACCACCTCATTTCCTGTTTCATATATAATATTAAGAAGAGAAGAAGTTGAGGCAATATCATCTAACCCCCCTTCTCTCTTACCCCTTTCCCAGAAGAACCCAACCCAATCCCTTGGTGTGTTTTTGCTGCACACCAGGAGCACCTGCCTGTGCCAGACTAAATTTTAGACCCCAAATCTGAAGAGTCAAAGGAGTAAAAAAATAAAAAAATAAATAAAATACAGCTTTATCTCAAATATCAAGAGCCAATTCCTTTCAACCACAGCACCCACAAAAGGCAAACTCCAGGCTCTGTGTGAATTCCTGCTGGGCAGGGCATTGTCTTGGCAAACAGCATCAGATACCAGAGAAAAACAAAGCAGAGAGGCTGAGAACCTACCAGATCTGTCCAACGTTGACCAAGGAGAGGTAGAGGAGCCACAGGATGGACATGAGGACCATGTTGGCACATCCAGCCACCAACACAAAGGCTGATATTGCCAGGCCAGCCAGGGCAAGGCAGTCCAAGGTGCTGTCCATGTCAGACCAGTCCAGAAACCAGATGATGGTTGGGGCATAGCTCAAGGCATCCAGGTTTATCTTCCCTTTGAAGTACCTCTTGATGTTCTGCAGGTACAGCTTGCAGGGCAGCAGCCCCTTCTCTCCTATCAGCTGCTTGTTCTGATGATATGCCACCAGGAAGGCCACAACTAGGAAAACAAGGAGGGGGGAAAACTGTGTTAAAATCCATCCCTCAGCCTGGATGATTCTGAGTCCTGAGTTACAGAAGTACATTAATGGCTTAGAAGGAATTTATTCAAGGTTTCATCTCTGTTAAAACCCAACAGTCATTACAATGCTCAAGCACAAGGTTCCCTGCCCATGGCAGGGGTTGGAACTGGATGAGCTTTAAGGTCCCTCCCAACCCCAACCATTCCATGATCCTGTGATCTCTGCTAACCACAATGCAGAGGAATTCTACAAATCCTGTCTCTCTCTTCACACCAGGAAGCAGCACAGAGCCTGTTTGGGATCATCTTCTCCTCAGCAGCTGCTGAGGCAAACTGCTCCAGGCACTGCTGGGAAAAGCTCCCTGGAACCCAGTGACCCAGGACAGGAGCAGGAAGCTCATCCCAGCTCTGTCAGATCCAGAGGGACCTGAGGGGAGTCCCACACTGTCCATCTCCTGAAACAACTCCCCAGCACTGCAGAGGAGCAGGGAAGGTGATGCACTGATTTCAAGACTTTCAGCCAGAATTTCCTTTCTGCAATAACCCTTTGGAGAGGGGACACTGAGGAACACACACAGATTCCAGGGAGCCCAGTGGAAGCATCCAGGAGAGCACACCCAGCTCCCACCAGCTCTGCAGCAGGAAAGATCCACCTGTATCTTCCAACCCTCCCATTTCAGTTCCATTAAACACAGACACCCTCACAGGGAAGGATTTCTTCCCAATATCCCATCTAACCCTGCCCTCTGGCAGTGGGAAGCCATTCCCTGTGTCCTGTCCCTCCATCCCTTGTCCCCAGTCCCTCTCCAGCTCTCCTGGAGCCTCCTTAGGACCTGGAAGGGGCTCTCAGGTCTCCCTGGAGCCTTCTCTTCTCCAGGTGAACCCCCCCAGCTCTCCCAGCCTGGCTCCCAGCCCCTGGAGCATCATCATGGCCTCATTCCAGCAGGTCCATGTCCTTCCCATCCAGAGAACCCCAGAGCTGTTCAAACCACCCTTCAATCCTTCTGGCAGTGCAGTGGTTAACAGTTCTACATCCCAACTGCCAAAGACAGTAGCTCTGCTGTGGATTGACTTTCTGGATCCTCTCACATCCTGGAAATACAAAGTCTTAATATTTTCCCCGTCCTCTAAATTGCTACTTTTCCCATGTCCCTACAGCTCTCCCATTTATAGTGTCTGTGCTCCTGCACTGGACAATCTTAGAACAACCAGCTGCTTTTTTTAACAGCACAGAAGCAATTTAATTACAGATTATAGACCTAGAATTTGATGTTCTACAGAGAAAGTTGGTCAGTTCGTAGGGATTAGCTCATATTTTAAGAATCTCCTCCAGTAACCAATTTGCAGTTTGTAACTGCAGCAATCTCCATTTCTCAGGGGAAAAAAAAAAACAACAGTGGAGGCCAACATTCCCTGATTAGGCTCCATCCACTAACTTACCCATCCTTCAAACATTATCAAACCCCAGCCATGTCACGCACAGCAATCCCAAAGGTCTTGCAAAAGGCCAGTTTGTTTCCCCCCAAACCTCCCTGGTTAATGATCACATTTGTTGCCTCCCTTATCTGAACAGGGTCACTCTGCAAACAACAATCCTGGTGTTCCTCTGCTCGCTGCCCCTCGCTTGGAACACTGACATCAAACCCCCAGTTCAGGCCTGGATTCCCATTCCTTTGAAGTCTGAGGAGCAACCAAAAGTCTGCAGCCCCAGGGAATAAAACTCAACATCCCCAGACACACACAAAGGTCCCCAGTGGGGCTCAGTTAATCCACTTAACACTTTCTCCAGCTCTCTCTCTGCACACACCACATATTTTGTTCTCATTTGGAAAACCACCACGAGTCACAACCCACAGCAGAGGTCACTGGGAGGGTTCCCTTTGATTCCAGCAGCTCCTGAATCACAGCGATGACGCAACAAAGTTGGGAGTTAAGTGGCTGCATCTCTTCCCATCCATCTTTTATACCAACTACTTATGATTTTACCAATTTTAAAAGACACACTGAATGTTTTGCCCAGTTATGGTCAGTGAGGCACAAGACAAGAACTGATCACAACCCTACGGGATCAGTTCTTGACTGCAAATATTCACATTATTCAGTATTATTCATATTTTTTTCCCCAACACTCAGTTCAGCACAACTGCATAATCAGAAACCCTGATATGTGAAGCCAGCAAAAATATGATGCTTTGGAGCTTCAGACAGCTTAATATCTTCATTTTTGGCTTAAAAAAAGCCCAAAAAACAACACAACTAAAGACCAGCTCTGCCTTAAAACTCCATGGCTCGATTGCCCGTGATTAGCACTGCAATTTGCTGCACAGTTTTCCAAAAGTGCTAATCAAATTCACCTCTAAACGCTCCAGAATTGCTGCCCCAACCCATAACTGCCAAGCACATTTTTGTCTAAAAAAGTCTAAATTAGACCCCTGCACCGTATGCAAGACAAAGAAGGAAAGGGTAAATTAGGAAAAACAAACTATAGCAATTGCAGAAAAGTACACATTGTATGGACAGTCCTGCACAGCCTTTTTGAGTCTGAAAGCAGCAGAGACAGAGTTAGAGTTGACATGAAATGCACAGTTTAGGATTGCCCAGCTTGGGCTCCAAAGTGGTTTTTTCCCCTCTCCCAGAATATGGATTTTTCACTTGTGTTTCGCACGTCAACATTCACAACTAAACGCCACCAGCAACAGCACTAATATGGCTGGGATTCACCTCCCCCAAACCAAATCCCGACCATTCCAGAGTGTTTGGATCCATCACCTCCCAGGCCATCGGCCCATGAACTGCTCACAGAGCAGCGTTCCCAGACGTGCTGCTCCATCCCGGATCCAGCTCCCTCTCCTGGACACTCCCCAGGCTGAGCCGCCGCCTTGATGACTCTGCTCCCTCCCCCCTCATCTCCAGCATCTTTTGGAGCACATCCCTCAGGAAGCTCCCACTTCCACTCAATCCTCTCTCCCCTGCTCTTCCCAAAGCACCAGCTCCATCCCCAAGAGCAGTTCCCGTGTTACTGGACACAGGGAACAGCTGAAACTCAAGACTGATTCTCTAAAGGATTTCAGCAACATGGGAGAAGCACAGATCCACTGGGGGGGAAAAAAAGGAAGTTATTTATCAGCTTGTCATTGCTTCCTCTCCCTGAACCCCTGGAGAAACTGTATCCTTACACTGAGCATAACAGACCCCACTCCCTTCTCCAGGAACCTTCCCTTTGACCTTGGCTCAGTCAGGGGGGTAAAAAAGTCCCTTCTCCCCCAAAGCCTGTGCTTCTTCCTCTTCCCCAACCTGTGCTCTGAAACCTCTCTCCCCGTGGCCTTGTGTTTGGGGATTTTCCACTCTCCATCTTCCCACTCCCTCCAGGTCAAACAAGTTTGCTTCCACCTTGGGCACGGGCTGCCACACCCACCAGGGGATGTTCAACCACTTCTCCTTTGTCCTGGAGCTTCTTCCTGGGATTCTGCACCCCTTTAAGTCTCCAGCCCCAGCACAAACCCCATCACATTCCCATCTTCCCTCTGGCTGCTCACTGCCAGGACTTTTCCCTGACACTTCCTGACAGATTTGGGTGTTTTCAGCCCATCCCAGTCTCTGTGTCCCACCTGGAGCACTGTCATTCTCCAAACTATCCATCCCCTTTGCAGATTGAAGGAGCTCAGTGGCCCTGAGCTCCCTCCCACTCGAGGCAGCCGGAGCCTTTGACAGCTCACATGGGAACGTTCCTCTCCCTGCTGGAGCTGAGCTTTACACAAAGTGATCCATGTAAATTGGCATCGCTGCTAATAGACCTCCACTACTTACTCTCACCTCAGAGGCTGCTTTAACTGTACTTTTCCATTAACTCCCTCCCTCCACCTTCTCTTTCCCCTTCCAGGCTCCTCTTTCCCCCCAAACCCAGCGCTGCTCAAACCCCCGTTCTCCCAATAAACACAACCCAAGCGTGCAGCAAAGAGTCCCCCACCCAAAATGATTCCATCTACCCATATTTCCCTGTCACCTCAGCTCCTTTCCCCCAGCCCAGGCTCAGCCTGTCGTGGCAGGAGAAGGAGAGAATCCCATTCTCCATGCTCGGTAAAGATTTAAAGATGTGAAATCCAAAACTTTCCGGTCATGTGGCTTTTTCTCTCTCTCCCCCCCATTAGAAGAAGTCTTAACTTTTACTTAATGCCCAAATCACGAGAAGAAATGAAGCAAGAGCACAGAGCTTTGCATGAAAACCAAACTACACTTTGCACACCCCCAAAAAGTCTGCCTGGAGCCACAGCCCAAGTGCCCCTTTGACCCAAGGAGGCATCAAACAGGCCCTGTGCTGGATGCTGCAGGCTGAGGTTGTACTAACAGAAAGAAGAAAGAGGAGAATATTCCTGGCATTTGCTTTATTATCAGAGAAATTAAAATCAAATAAGCTTTCAATTGATAAATTCCCCTGCAGAGTTTTGCAATGCAGAAGTAACAACACCACAGCAAGGAGCAGAGCCAAGCACCCCCTTCTCAGGGTGCTACCCCACAGCCACACAGAAACACACAACAAAGTCCTCTGTTCTTAACACCTTTTTGTTTTCTTGCCATTCACGGCAGAGCTGAAGACTTTGGGGTGGTTGCTTTGGGGGTTTTTAAGTCCTTATCTCCCCGTTGCCTCCTTGTTTTGGAAGCAAAGGGAGCAGGCTGGGCTGTGGCACCACTCAGAGCTTCCCTGGGGCACTCACTGTTCCAACCACACCAGTGCAGCCCAGTCTGCAGCTGGAGGATGTCCCTCTGCTCCAGAGCAGCTCTGGGCAAGGAGCAGACAGGAGATAAATTCTCTTCTCCGTTCTTGTTCTCGTTTTCCCATTTCAGGGGGATCAGCTGCTCAGAGCACCCGGTGCTGACACGCTGCTGTCGTTGGACAGACTTGCTAACAAGCTCTGAGCCGAAATAAAACCTTCCAGGGGAGAAAAAGCATCAGAAGATGCTCTCTAGTCCTGACCAGGCAAGCTGGAAGCTACTGGGAGCCTTTTAATATAACTGAGGGAAGGGAAAACAGGGGAGATGGCAGAGAAAGAGAGGAGGAAGGACACCGGGGAGAGCCAGGAACCTACAGGAAGCCAAATCCCCCTGAGAAGGCTTTAGATTTCAGAATTAGGAAGAAGGAGCACAAGCCTCCCGTAGCTCCAGCTCTGGGGAAAGAAAATACTATGAAACAATACATAAGGAGCAGGAATATAAACCAGATTTAAATAATAGCTTTTATTTCAAAGCACTCCACAGAGCCTGGCTGAGATGGGGGAGGGTGGTATCTAATTACTTAAACTTCTACATCTGGCATCTGATGATAGTAACCACCCAAAAAGGGTACCTAGCAATGATTTAGGAGGAGGGTGAAGGGAGCAAATAATGCACATTTGTTGTCAAGAGCTTTGGGACCAGCTCTTTACCTGTAACAGCACTTCCAACAAGACCTCAAAGAATTTCTGTATTGCCAAAACATCAATCCCTGCCACAAAGAAGCAGCACACAGTGCAAGGCCAGGATGGAAAACCTTTGGATCTCAAAAGGGCATTTCTTCAAACCTCTGCCCAGCTCAGGTGAGACCCCCCCCCTCTGCAGAGCTGCCTCCAGCCCTGGGGTCCCCAGCACTGGAAGGACCTGGAGCTGTTGGAGCGAGTCCAGAGGAGGCACCAAGATGATCAGAGGGCTGGAGCAGCTCTGCTGGGAGGAAAGGCTGGAGAATTGGGATTGTTCAGCCTGGAGAAGACAAGCTTTGGGGTTACTTAGTTGCCCCTTCTGGTACCTGAAGGGAACTAAAGATGAAGAGACTATTTACAAGAGCCTGAAGTGACAGGACAAGGGGAAAGGGCTTCAAACTCTCCAAAAGTGGTTTCAGATATTGGGAAAAAATTCTTCCCTGGGAGGGTGGAGAGGCCCTGGCACAGGTTGCCCAGAGAAGCTGTGGCTGCCCCATCCCTGGAAGTGTCCCAGGCCAGGTCGGACAGGGCTCGGAACAACCTGGGCTAGTGGAAGGTGTCCCTGCCCGTGGCAGGGGGGTGGAATTGGATGAGCTTTAAGGTCCCTTCCAACCCAAACCATTCCAGGGTTCTCTGAGTTACTCCACACCCTCCTCCTTCAGAGATCTCTTGGTCTGCGCCCACACTTGTCAAGTGAAAGAGGTCCCAGACCCGAAAACACCTCTGATGGCTGTCAATTGTAAGAACTCAGGTGTCACTGAATTTACCAGCACCAGTGCCAGCTCCTCCTAAAAAATGACAGGTGGTTCATTTACCTCCCTGCTCTGTTGAGGCCCCCCAGCACAGCCCTCCTGCAAAGAGAAACCTCAGGGAGCACTTTCAGCTGAATCCACTTCCCTTCCTTCCCACTCCTGCAAGCAGCAGGTGGGTTTGGTCACTGACCTCCCCAAATCATCAGATCCCTTCCCCTCTTTATCCTGCCTCTCAGACAGCAGCTGCTTTGCCAGGGACTTCCCAGGCTCTGGCTGCTGCTGGAAACCCCCTTCAAGAAAAGAAGAGAGTTGTTAAAAGCAAAGGGAGTGGGGGAGAAGGGAGGGCACACAGAAGGACACTTCCCACCTGCCTTGCTCTGCCTGTCCTCCTTCCACAGGGGGAGATCCTCAGGGAAAGCATCTCCCTTACTTGCACCAGGCACCACCCTCACCTCAGCACCACTGCACACCCCAAATCATGCTCCTCTCCAGCCCATCCACAGGGTCCTTCACTCTCACACCCCTCCCTTTCCACCCGGGAGGGGAACAAGCCCTCAGCTCACACGGCTGCACTGAGGCAGGAGCCACAACCAGGGAGCGACCACTCCCCTGACACCTCAGGACAAGGTCCCTGCCAAAGGATTTGTTGCTTAACCCAGCAGGAGTGAAAGGGTTACGAGTAAAAGGGTGAAACACATCCCACAACCGAGGAATGTCAAGGAATGTCAAACTGTCACAACGGCATCAGCCGTTTCCTCAGCGAGTCTGAGCCTCCGAATCGCCTCGTCTGGGAACAGAAATCATCTGTCACAGTAAATGGTTCCATCTTCAGAAAAGAGCCTGGAAGAGCAGCTTGGCACAGAGGCACTAAATTGTTTTCTGCTGTTTCTAAACTCAGGCTCTCAGAAGGGATCAAAAGGCAGCCCACCTTCCCTCGGGAGCACCCCAGCCCACCAGCCGGGTCACGGGGGAACCTGCCTGCTCACAACCTCTCCATCTCAGACACACCAAGCAGCCTCCACCCCTCTAGGGTTGAGGGCTTTGTGGCATCTCCCCCATGCTGGGACTGGAGCTGGAACCCCAACACCGCTGCCAGCAACAGCCCAAGTAGGAATTCAAGCTGTCCCAAGCCAGGCCCAGGTTGCTTGACTGTGCCCCAACCAAAAGCAAAGCAGAAATCCCTGTGGCCTGACTGCAGCCAAGCAGAAGTTGCATAATGAGCAGTTAAACTTTTCCTCTCCTGCACCTCTTCCATCACAAAGGGCACAGCCATCCTCCTGCCCTGTTCCTTCCAGCTCCAGTACCCAAACCCTTTTGGGTACCCCTCTCCAAAAGGTTTCCTCACTCTGCACCACAGAAGCATTTTGGGGTCTCACCCCTCCTTCAGCCGCTCCCAGGAGTTCCCCCTCCCTTCTCCTTTGGGAAAAGTGCCACATACAACTCTACTCACCAGCCTGCAAGCTCAGCCTCCTCCTCTGGTCCCAGCATTCCCACCCTCCCTTTATCCTGCAGCCCATCAGCCTCAATCATTTCCACCTGTAACTCACCCCACCCTTAACTGGATACTCATCTCACCTGTTACTGCTCCTGTTGTCCCAGATCAGGTCTCCCACTCACCAGAAGGTCCCATACATTTGTCTTCTACCAATTCCCACCCCTCCAGCCACCACCTGCTCCCTTCCCACTGCCCCCTCCAGCCCCATCCCTCCGAACACGCCACCGCCCCTGGGGACAGCATTTGGTCCCTGATGTGCCCCGTTTATAACCCCAAATCCAGGATCAGAGAGCAGCAGCCTCCCCCCAAGGAGAACACTAATCAGTTTTTCATAAGGAAACTGCAAAGTGAGCCACGGGAAACTCAGCAGTCTGGATTTACACACGGGGGAATATCGGAATCGCTTTCATTTTGACTGAAAGAGTCATAACCTCGCATTTCACCGAGAGCTGAAACCAAACTAGAAACAGAGCACGTGTCAAAACCATACAAAACTACAACTTCTGCATGGTTTTGATGCAAAATAATCTAAGCAGGCTGGCAGGCTACAAATTCTAACGATTCTGTGGACAAATCTGGGGCAAGTTTAGAATTTGTACCGTAGTGTGTTACATGTCAGTTTTGGTTTCACTGTAAATATTTTTTAAGTGGAGCACCAGTGGGCTCTGAGGAGGGATCTCTGTGTTCTCAGTGCCAGAGTCAAACGAGCGGAGGCTGGAAACTGCTTTTACTGTTAAACATTTTAAGGTCATGTCAACCCCAGGTCCTGACTGGCAGTGTTGGCACCCAAGGATGTCATCTCTCCCTTCAGTCCTGCTTCTGTATAAGGCAAAGAGTTCCTCCCTTGAATAGCTGAGCTCACAAGCTCACAAGAAAAGAATGAGCAGCTCCAACCAGCTCTGCTGAGAGGTACCAAGATTATGGTGTGAGCAAACCCTCCTTCCAGCTCCACCAGCACCGGAGCTCCAACATCACCAACACCATCCAGCCGTCAGCAGCAGGGTCCCACCAGTAAAGTAGGAGTGGAAAACAAGAAAATCATGGAATATCCTGAGCTGGAAGGGACCCACAAGGATCATCGAATCATCGAATACCCTGAGTTCAAAGGGGCCCCCAAGGATCACAGAATCACAGAATATCCTGAGCTGGAAAGGACCCACAAGGACTATCCAGTCCAACTCCTGGCCCTGGACAGGACACCCCAAGAGTCCCACCACGTGCCTGAGAGCACTGTCCAAACAACATCCTAACAGCTGGAGTCAGATGGCCACCAAAACATCACCAGAACTTCCACAGCTCCCAATCCATTCAATGCTGACTGTAGTGTGATCATTTGCCTTGGGATACAACTGGAATATCCACATAGATGTGACACCCTGAGCATCTGATGGACATAAACACCATGTAGAATTTTAGGCAGGATGTAACTGGTGGCCTCCCAGACAGGCTCAGAGTGGTTGGATCACTCATATATTGAAGTCATTTCACTCCTGGAGACCCAGTCCCATTCCCACAATTTATTTCACAACCAACATATAACATTCCGCTCTCCAGAATCCAGAACTCCACAGAACCCACAGGACCATCGAATCCAACTGCTGGCCCTGCACAGGACACCCCAACAACCCCACCATGAGCCTGAGCCTCCTCGAGCTCCGGCAGCCTTGGCTCTCCCCACTGTCACACCTCGCCCATCCCCGAAGCTGTGCACACGCAGGTACCCGAGACCCCAAACCGAGCAGTGACGGGGTGACAGGCGGGGCTCCCCCGTGCCATCCATCCATCCATCCATCCATCCATCCATCCATCCATCCATCCATCCATCCATCCCTGCATCCCTTCCCGGCGGGACGGGGGGCGGACCCGGGGCGGGGTCACAGCGCCCGGGGGTCCGCGCCGGCACCCACGTGGAGCACGGAGAGCCCCCAAGGGCTCAGCCCCGCCCCGGCACGGGGGGAGTCCCGCTGTCCCCGGCGCCCATCGAGGATGGGACACAACCCTGGGATGGGGACAATCCTGGCATGGGGACAACCCTGGCATGGGGACAACCCCGTAATCCCACGTGGCTCATCGCGGCGCCCCCCGCCCGCCCCGGGGGCACTCACGGTACAGCAGGGCGATGCAGCGCAGCAGCACGATGCGGGTCAGCCAGAAGGTGCCCGGAGGTGGCGGGGGAGGCCCGGCCGCGGTACCCGGACCGGGGGTCTCGGGGGTGTCCCCGGGAATGTCCCCGGGAATGTCCCCGGGAATGTCCCCCCGCGCCGCCCCGGCCCCCCCCGCCCGCCGCCGCCGCGGCCCCGCGCCGGGCGCCGCCATGTCGGAGCCAGCGAGCATGTGCGGGCGGGCGGGGCCGCGCTGAGGGCAGCGGGGAGCGGGAGGTCGGTGCGAGAGTCTGGGAGAGAGGTTGGGGGTTTAATAAAGATAAAACGGGAACGGAGCGGCCGGCGGAGGGGCCGGAGCGTCCCTCCGTCAGCGCCGAGAGGGGAAGGCTCGGGCGGGATCCCGTCAATCCACGCAAGTATCTCCGAGCGGGCTCAGAGGACGGTGCCGAACTCTGCTCGGCGGTGGGACGAGGAGCGATGGCCACAAATTAAAACACGAGGATTTTCGCCCCCGCCTGAGGAAGGACTTCTTTCCGTGGAGCGCTGGAACAGCTGCCGGGGGGGGTCGTGGAGTCTCCCTGTCCGGAGACATTCCAACCCACCTGGACAGTCCCTGTGTCACCTGCTCCAGGTGACCCTGCCTGGGCGATCTCCGGAGATTCCTTCCAACCCCAGCTGTTCTGGGATTCTGTGGCTCCAGAGCCCTGTGCCCACCCCCTGTCAGGGGTTCAGGATGCTCCATCACAGGGATGCTGCCCCGGCTGCAGCCCCTCAGCTCACCCGGCTCATCCCCCAGGAACATCTTGAGCTGAATTCCTCAGGCTTTCCTCATGGAATCACAGAATGGTTTCAGTTGGGAGGGACCTTAAAAACAACTCAGTGCCACCCCCTGCCACGGGCAGGGACACCTTCCACTAGCCCAGGTTGCTCCAAGCCCTGTCCAGCCTGGCCTTGGACACCTCCAGGGATGGGGCAGCCACAGCTTCTCTGGGCAACCTGTGCCAGGGCCTCCCCACCCTCACAGGGAACAATTTCTCCCTAATGTGTCATCTAAATTCTCTACTTGTGCTGCTGCCATGATTTTTACTTCAAATAATCTATAGCTGTCCAACACTTGGCTGCGTTGAGTTCATAAATGGTATTTTTTATCAAAACCAGTTTAATAAAGTGTCCTCATCAGTGACTGATGAGCACGGGCATGTAAACACCGCCGTGCTAACCCGTCCAGTGGCCACTGAGAAAGTATCTGCTATCAGGTGTAACATTATTCAACCCTTCTCAGCCTCTAAAATGGTCCCTTCTAAATGCCCCTTTTGTTTTTCCAGTTTCCCATCACTGCTGCTCGCATTGTTCTCCTTAGAAAAAAACCCTACATAATGCTGCATTGTATAGGGAAGGAAAAATCAGCTATTTGTTAAAGGCCTCTGGTAAACTGCAGTTTCACTCTCCTGTTGGATTAGCCACGAGGCTTGGGGTGGAGAAACTTAAATAGATGTAAGCTAATGGTTTCCTCTGTGGGGTCTTTTACAGCAAATTCCACGTTAAATGGAAATGTCTGTAAAACAAACTGGATAATTGAGGAAATTACTGAGGAAGAGCGGAGGGTTTAGGCTAAAGATTTAGCAAAGAAAAGAAGGAATGATGGGAGCTGGGAAGGGAACCCGGGCTGGGTGAGTTTTCATCGCTGAGGAGATCTGCCAGATGCACAGGTTGGGGTGGTGGCAGGAACAAACACCAAACTTGGGGGACATCGTGTGTCAGCAGCACCTTTGAACAAGACGTGCTGCAAATCTTGAGCCTAAAACCAGCAGAAATGTGTTGTTACCAAAAGGGACCGATCCAGTTCTCGTAAGAGGCAATGGAAGCCTTTCCTGGCTTTACTGGAAGATGATTCAAGCTATAAAAGAAAACACGTGACAAACCAGTTGACTGGGACATCAAACGACCTCTCTGTCCCAAATCCCCGCTGGGCCCCAGCTCTGTGAGGACCATCCTCTGCAGGGGGTTTCTGCTCCCTCATCTCTTTACCGTTGACTTTTATTCTCAGGTCGCCGCTTTCCCTCTTTTCCAAGCGAGGCAGCAGCGAAGGAAAGAGTGTAAACCCCGAGCAAATAAGGCAAAGAAGATATTGAAGAGCCTCGGAGGCTCCAAGGGAGGGCGATTCATGAATGCCAGGCGGGCAGGGGCATCATTGATGCTCATCCTCATTCAACGACCGGCGGCCGCCGCGTCCCCCCGCCCGACCCTATTTTGCTGTGTGTTCCAAACAGCTGCAAAAAGTGCCAGGGAAACAAGCCCTCACTGTGCCAGCCCCCAGCAGCTGTCCCCACCAGCACCTCAACCCTGCTGTCCCTGGCACCCTAAATTGCTCTGTGTTCATTCAGGTCTGGCCTTTCGCCCCTCTGGCTGCCAGGAATCGGGTTTAAAGAAAAACAGAGAAAAGGGAATGTGAGCAGAAATAACTTGTTTGTTAAAGCAGCATTAACGTTTGGGGGGCTCCTCTGAAGAGAACATACATTCAGTTATGGATAATGCAGTTACACACCGTCCCACTGAGCCTTCAGCTGCGTCTGCTAAATGGGAGATGGGGATCTCACAAAGAATTTGGGAGCTTCCTTTCAGTAGTTAAAGATTTTTCCAGCAGTAATATTTTTTTCCTTTAAAATCACCGCCCTTTGCCTGTGGAACTCTGATCCTTAACTCCAGGGTTAGCAGGATTAAGGCTGAAAAGGATTTTCAGAGGAAGAATTACCTTTTTTTTTCTCCCGTATTTGTACAGGATAATGAGGAGGTGCTGATTCAGAAGAGGGATTCCTAGGCAGTACCACAGGACAAACAATTAATAATCACAGGAATCATAATTAATCCTAATAATCTCCATTATTTTGAAAAGATGCCATCCAGGCTTTGCTGTGCAGGAGGAAAGAGGAGATCCTTTGCCAAGAGCTCACCTGGTCTTGCTGTGTAACTCACACGTGTGTGAGGTTTGATCCTGCAAAAGCATTTTCTTTTCTTGCTGCTATTTTAGAATATTTGAATAAAAATAACATAATGACATTGAATGTCCTTTTTCTCTGATATCTGCTGCCATGATGAAACCCAGAAAGGGGCTTAGGAATCCTGTGCACTCCTCTCCACTTGCATTTCAAGCACTGCCAAGTCTATCACTCACCCGAGTGACACGTCCACACGGGCTTTGGATGAGACAAGGCTCATTTTATGTGAACAGAAGACAAATTTTGGACCTAAACTGACCTGCAAGGAACAGAGCCATATAAATTTAGCCTTAAAATTCCATGAGCAAACACTGGTTGTGTGCTGGAGCCTTCCCAAGCACACGGTGCAGGATGGGACCCACCACTATTGTCCACCTGGAGGGCAAAGTTCTTCAGCTCTTCTGCTGCTATTTTAATTGAAGTGAGTAAAAGTTACCACAGGTCTTTTTTTTTTTTTTTTATCTTCTTTTCAGATACCAGGAGCTTTCCTGAAAAGGCTTGAACATTGTTTCACAGCAACCTCTGAGCTGCCACGTTCTCTGGGCAGAGCATTAATCCTGCACATGTCAGAGGCTTATTTTAACACCACGCACAGGTTTTACTCTTATCTGATCAGGGCTCATTTTTTCTCCCCCTGTAAAGACTCTTTCTATTTGCTCTTTGGAATTCCCATGTAAAATCTGCTGGCAGTTCAAAGGAGGCCAATTTTTGATAAATGAGAACTTTACCTCTTGTTCAGATTAGGGATAAAGCCCAGCTTTGGGCTGGGCCTACACCCAGCCAAGGGAGGAGTGCGATCTGTGGGTCCATCACAGAGCACATCCATTGTGTCCAGTGGTTCCCACGTGCTCTCATGCTCCAAAAATGCCTTCCCAGTCTTCCACTGAGGAGGAAATTTCCCCTCCCTGGCACTAGCAGGGCTCTGCCTGCTCTGAAGCCAATGCAGACACACTCTTATCCCTGGGTAAGGAATGGGTATGGAAGAGAGGAACTGGGATGGGAGGTCAGGCCACCTCCATCCCAGAGGGATTCTGAGGGTTCCAAGTGACACAGTGATGGGGCCAAGCAAGCAGAGCTCATATTGAATGCCTGATTCCCAGAAACACTGGTGTGAGCTGGCCAGGAACTTTATTGGAGGCCACGGCAGACTCTAAAGAAAATGAAGGAATATTCCAAATATTCCTCTGCTGTGCCCACCCTGCCAGGAACAGCTGGCTCTGCTCCACAAAATCCTCTCTAAACATATCCCACCTCTGCTCCACCAAATCCTTTCCAGACATCCCCCATCTGGGTGCACTCTGAAGGCTCCATCGGGCAACAGAAACCTCGGCTCTTCCCTCCCAGATCTGCACCCTCTCCCTGGGAATCCTGCTGTCAGGGCCTGCCCTGCAGCATCCTGGGGCAGGACAGGTGACCCATCCCATGGGATCACTGCAGGACCTGCCCCGCAGCTCCAGCCTTGGCCCATCCCTGGGCAAACATCGCTGGGCCTCTGTCACACAAAAATCAAACGGGAGACCCCACAAGACAAACAGCCCCACTTGAACCCACTTGCTCTCCCAGCATTCTCCCACTCCGTGTCATGGATCGGTGAGCTTCCCAGGAAGTTCTCAGCTCCAGCTGCCCCCTGTCCCTGTGTCCTCGGTGTGTGAGGCAGGACAAGGCCTCTCCCTGCGCCAGCTCAGCTGAGAACGGACGCAGAGAGACACCAAAGGGTTTGGGCAGCATCTCAAAGCCAGACGTGCAGCAGGACACGTTCCCTGCTCCGCTCCCAGGCACGGCCTCTTCCCTGTGCCCATCTCTGCAGCAAGAGGAAGCAACTCCCAAAAGTTGTCCTCCTTCTACCTGCGCTGGACAAAGAGGAATTGAAGTGTGTGGGCTGGGAAATGCAATTCCCCTCCTCGGGCAGAGCTGGAGAGCCCTGAAAGGCAGCAGCAAGCAGGGAGAAAACCAAAGGCTCTAATTCCTGCTGTCCTTGGGGGCTTCTTTTGCAGGAATTTCACTGGGAGCTGAAGGCAGGGAGCAGAAAACAGGGGCTCTTGTTTTCATTCCTACCTCCGTGGGTTTGCCCAGCGCTCCAAGGATCCCACAAATCCCTTTCCAAGGATCCCACAAATCCCTTCCCAGCCTCAGTCACGCAGCGAGGGCCGGATCTTCCGAGGAAGGTGCTCCAGGAGGAGAGGCTGGCTTGGAAAAGCTGGACTAAAAATAGGGATTATTGCTTGACTCAGCCACCACTAAAACACTGAAATTCTGTGAGTCAGGTAAATCGTAAGGTAAAGTTATTAAAGAGCCGTGAGAGCCCAACGAGTCAGGATTTATAGGAATATACATTAATTATATGTCACATGAGGGGGAAAAAAGATTTTGCCAAGTGTCCAACAGCCCTGCAAAGCACTGGGCTGAAGCCCAGGGAAACAAACTCTTCTCCAATCTTATTAAGCTTTGGAAGAAAATTTAAATTATTCCTCATTTGCAAGTTCAACTTATTTATTTCTCCTTGAGCCTCAAAATAATATTTTTTGAAAGACACTTCGTAAAATTATACTTAAAATAACTTTGTCAGGAGGTAACTCACTTTGTGACTCTGCAAACCAAAAGCTGAAATCTGGAGAAACTACTAAATAAGGAAAATAGAAATTCTTTAAATAAGATAAAATCCTTCTTTGCACTTTAAGAGAATATATGAATTTTCACATAGAAAGCAGATGGATGTTCAGGCACATTTGAACACACTGAAATTCAAAGCATACGCTTTATTTATTATTATACATTGCAGTAATGAAACAAAACACTCTGAAATCATCACATTCTTGTTACTTTTTAAATGCTGGAATACTTAAAGCCCAATTTCTACATTTTCCCCTACCGATCTTGTACGTGCACCCTCTCTTTTCCGGGGGGGGGAAACAGCAGATAAAACTGGAATTTGGGGAGTTGCTTTTTTTTTTTCTCTCCAGAGTCGCAATTAGAAGGCTGAATTCCGCGGATAATTAGAATCAAATGCTCCAAATAAACGCTGCAAAAGCAGGGCTCGCTTGGAGAGGAGCAGCTTAAGCCGATGAGGGAGATTTTAGGGGTAACCCCCCCTTCCCCCGCACCCAAAGGCTCACCCCGAGGTGCCGCATCCTCCTCCGGCCGGGACCTCCCGGGGGGTCCCCGATCCCGCCGCGGGAACGCTGCGGGGAGGGAGCAGAGGAGAGTCGGGCGAGGGGACACGGAGGGTCTCGTGTCGCTTTTTTTCCAGCAATTCCCGATTTCCTCCGTTATTTGCCCGTTGGAGGCAGCGGGGGAGGGAAGCGACGCGCTCGGGGCTGCGAGGAGCGCACGGCGGCCCCAGGGGACACAGGGGTGGCTCTGACCCCCCTGCCGCGCACCGACCCCCCCAAAAACCCCTGGAAAAGGGGCTTCGGGAGTAACCGGCTGTCCCAGGGCACGCACCGGAGCTGCTGCCGCTCCGCCCCTCCTCGCAGAGGGACCCCGCGGTCCCCTCCCGCACCCGCTGCCCGCTGCCCCCCCAAACCGGGCGGTGCCGGTAATTCAACACAATTTACTGGAGCGTAAAACACATCCCACCGTCGGGGGTGTCCCCGCCGGTCCCGCGGCGCGGTGAAGCCCCCGGGCAGTTCGCAGCGGAAAAAAAAAAAAAAAAAAACAAAAAAAACCACAGAGGAGCCGAACGAGGGAGGCGGAACGGGGAGCCGGAGCAGGGCCGGGCCGGGCCGTGTCCCGCCGCCTCTCGCCCCCCGGGCCGGTCCGGGGAGCCCCGGGCGGGACCCCCGTGCGGGGCCGGCGGCGCGCGGGCTGTGCGGGGCGGGCGGGCAGCGACCCCCGCGGGCGGCGGGCCCCGCCCCTTATGCAAATCACCCCTCGCCCTGCACCAATGGCGAGCGGCGGCGGGGGCGGAGCCTCCGGCCCTCCCCTTAAAGTAACTTGTTGCCAGGGGCCCCGCTCCGCACTGGACGTGGA